GGAATCGAACTCATGCGGAAGTGGCTTCAGATTCTCAGTGCTGTGCTTTAACCCGCTGCGCCACCAGGGAGGGCCTCTCTCTCTCTTTTTAAAGATTTATTTTATGTATGCATACAAAAGCTGGGGTGCAGGCCAGAGGTGCAGGAGTTGGGGGGGGGGAGCAGTGAGAGTATTCATGAGAGACAGAGTAGGGAGCGGAATAAGCAGGCTGCCTGACATATACTGCTAAGAGGAACAGTGCGCGAGACAGGAGAGGTTTGTTACACCATGTAGGTCACCTCCCTGGGCAGGGAAACACTTAGTATCTACATGCAAAAGTGTGAAGTTGGATCCCATCCTTAGAATATAGGTAACTCAAAATGGATTACATTCCTAACTGTTAAAGCTGAAACTATAACATTCATAGATGATAACATAGGAGTTAATCCTTTGTGACCTGTACATAACACCAAATGCTTAAACAACAATAAAAATATGGTTACGTTAGACTTCATCAGATAAAAATTTCTGTAGTTAAAAAATATGGACTATCTATGAAATGGAATAAATTCTATCAAAAATGATTTATAAAAACAATCAAATACTGGTAAATGCTGCAAAATGGATGAAACCTGAAAACTTGCTAAGGGAATGGAGCCACTCACAGGAGTTGAAGACAGTATGCTTTGGGAAAGAACAAGCGACCTATTACATCACATAAAGCACCCAGAATATGCAAATCCATAGAGACAGAAAGTAGCTAGACAGTGTCTTACGGTTGGGTGAAAGAAGTAGTAGGTAGTGACTGCTCATGGATTTGGAATTTCTTTCTGGGAAAGAAAAAAATCCTCTGAAATTAGACAGCAATATACAACTTTGCAAATATAATAAAAACCACTGAATAGTGGTTTTAAAGCTTTAAAAGGATGAAGTTTAGGATGTGTATTATGCATCAATAAGTCTTATTTTAAGACTCTACAAATATAAGGGTGGGTTTTTTTGTATGTTTTGTTTCTTGCCTCCCCTTATTGTTCCAGACTGAAGTTAAAAAGACCAACCAGGACTTTGAACATCAAAGATATAGACTGTTTGCCTCCTAACAAAAAATTTAGAAACTATTGAACTCTGTGCTTTAAGCACAGTTCTGTGAGGGCACACTCATTGCATTAAGGCAAATCTCAGGCAACCTTTTTCTGTCACTCAGAGCATCGTGAGTTGCCAGGACCCTCACCAGGTTTATCACTGGTACCTTTTCTGTTTCCTTTCCTTACCCATTCTACATACTCCGTTTCTTCCATTCCTTAGTACCCTAGAGCTCTTTTGTGGTCTTCTGACTGAATTCCTATTTCATCACTACTCTCTCATCTCATGGTCCCCCCCACCCCCAATACTCAATGTTATACCCTTTACTGTCACACATATAAGAATTACTTCTGGCTATATTTGCTTTGAATTTTGATTATCAGCCAATGGAAATTTTTCATGTTAAGGCTAAAGGTAAAGACTGCTAACGAAAACTTAAATGCTTTAGTATATGTTTAAGATAGAAACTGGGCTTTTTATAATCCTGCCATCTATGCTGTACATTGTACATATGGATGTTGAAGTATTCATGTGCTTTATATATATAACATGTGTGCAAGGTTTGAAGTATTAAACTGAACAACTGAAACTTATGCAGTGTTACAAATTAGTGTTACCTCGAAAAGGGTTTTTATTAAAAAGAAAAAAAAAAGGCAAGACATAAAGGGGGTAAAAAAACAGCAAATCTATTTCTTTCCCCTGAAAAGGCCTGGAAACAAAGAAAGAACTCAGGTTGCCTCCTGGAGGCATGTATACAAACATTTCCCTTTAAAGAAATCAGAGCACCTTGGAGAGAGTTTGCCACCTTTAATGAAAACATAGATCTAGGTAACAATGACAAGTGTGTGCTAAACATCACATGAAAAGTACATGGGAAACTATGTAAGGGATGAGCGGGCCTAAGAACATCTACTGATCAAAATGGAGGTGTGTCTCGTGATGTGAAGCACTGGGAAGTACACAGCCCCACTTCTGACATTGCTAAAAATTCTCACTTGATTATGGTCAAACCTCAAAAATCTGATTACGGAAAATAGGGGAGTTAGAAGAATATGTTAACACTACGGGAAGCAGTCAGCAATATCTGGAAAGAGGGAAATTCTACAGAACTAATAATCTTGCTTCTTGCACTAATGCATGATAAAAGGGAATATTTACACAGGATACATCATAGTCAATGTATTTACTTTTTAGAATAAACCAGCTACAAAAATAAAATTGTGCAACCCCTCAGGAAATTGAGTTATAAATATTTGATCACAAAGTGTTGATAGCAAGGACAATGTTTTAGCTATATTAATTATATTCTTATGATTTTAAAAAGTTATTTTGTGATGCATACTAAATATGAATTTGTAAATGAAGTAATAAAATGTTTCCAATTTGCTTTGAAACAATCCATGTAGGGACTAGGTAGTGAATGGTGTTCAGCTGAGACTATTCATTGACCATTGTTGAAACTGGGTAGTGAATCCATGGAGGTTTGTAATGCTAGCCTCTATAGATGCTTAAAGTTTAGATTTTGAAATTTAAACACATATTCTCTCATATTCACTTTTACATAGATAGTTCTATGAGTTTATATAATTTTAAAATTATGCAATTCATGACTTCATCTGCAGTTGATTTCTAATTAGAGAATTTTGGCTTGCAAAGAATGGGGCTTCCTAGAGCCTCTTGCTGGCCATGGTAGCGCCCTTACCCAGTGTTTGCCAGAATAGTTCTAGCAGCTTGGCCTCTTGGCTTATCACTTCTGGTTCCTTGCTAATCTTTACTTCGATGAGCCTCATGATACAGAATATTTCCACCAGAACTGTTTTTGTTATGAGAAGGCATATGTGAGAAGTAATTTTATAAAACTTATTCAACTAATAAAATGTTTATGTTCTAAAAGCACCAGCAAGTGTAACACCTTAGTTTATGTGTATGAAATACAGAGTATTTTTAAATGAGTTAACTTTTATAAAGGAAATGTATACCTTGCAAGTTATTTCTCATTTTAAGACACTGGATTTTATTTCTCTGAAATCATTTTTCTTTCTTTCCTAGGAGGTTGTTTTAGGTTATGTGAAAGAGGTGCCTCCTCACCACTGAGGCATACCAGAAACTCTTATTTAAAGAGAATAAATGGATTTTGTACCAAACCACAGGAAAGTCCAAAAGCTCCATCCCGTAAGTTTTCAATCATTTTTTTATTTTTGATTTAAGCAGCTCCTAAAGATGAGAACAACTTGGAATCAAAAAAACCTAAAAGAGGTGGTCACGCCCTATCTTGTCATCCAGGCCTCTCAATTGTACCTGTATTGGCTGTGTCCATGTGTAGCTATGATTCCCTCATTTGTCATTTTTATTTCTTGATTGAAGGCTTTAGGCTGAAATATTTTAAAACAATCAATTCACCCAAGGAAGGTCTAGAAATTATCTTTTTTTTTTTTTAAAGATTTTTAATTTTATTTGTACATACAGAACTGGGGTACAGGCCAGAGGCTCAGGGGCGGTGAGAGGATTCACCAGAGACAGAGTGGAGAGCAGAACAAGCAGATCTACGAAGTATACTGCTGAGGGGAGCAGCGGGCGGGCCAGGAGAGGTCTGCCTCGCCATGTGGTCACCTCCGGGGCAGGCGGGGATCGAACTCATGCGGAAGTGGCTTTAGCTTCTCAGTGCTGTGCTTTAACCCGCTGAGCCACCAGGGAGGGCCTAGAAATTATCTTTTAAGACTCCCCTTTAAAACGAACCAAATCAAGAAATTATGTTTTGGGTAACATAGAACCAGGGCTAAATGCTGACTTAAGCATTTACTTCAGCTATGTTTAGCTCCATCTACCAGTGAGATTTTCATCACTGAGGGAATTAGCTACTGGAGGAAGGAACATAATATATAAACTGTAGGGCCTCAGGACCGTTTGCACATTGCTTCTTTATAGGAATACCCTAGGGCCAGGTAGATATTGGTGACTATAAAGAAACTATCCTTATAGGATATTTGTCAAGAATTTAAAAACATTTATACCCTTAGACTTGGTATTTCACTTCAGAGATACTTTAATTGTCCCTGATTTAAAAAAAAAAAGACTATAAAGATGTTCCTATATACAAATAGGAAAATGAGAAATATTGAATGTCATAACATACAAGTGTGATTAATTATGTGGATGAATTTATCCAGCTGTTAGAAGTGATACTTAGAAATACCATGTACCAGAATGAAAAGAAGTTTGTTTTAATATTAGAACAAAGTAGGACGTAAAACTTTTGTGTAAGCACAAGCATGAGACACATGTATTTTTTGTAATTTACACATGTAAATTACACATGCATATATACTTAACAGGGATAAAAATTAGTAAACAACAACATAAAGTGATTATGCATTGAAAGAGAATTAGAGGTGGTTTTACCTTTCTTTTTCAACATCCATATTTTATAAATTGTCTTTAGTGCATATTTAGTACTTAAAAAGAAGGGAGGAAAATTGTGCCAAGTTCTCAAAGGGTGAAAAGATAAAACTACAGCAAATCTATATCTATACCACTAAACATTTTTTCTCATCTTCGATTCTTTGAGTATTTTTCTTAGTGACTCTCCTTTTCCTTTAGCTGGAGCATAAGCAAAGATGTAGAGGTAGGAAGGTTAGAACAACTGACAGAGTTAAAGTCAAGGAGAGGTCTCATCTGCAAAAGAGATGTAGACAAGACATGAAAAGTTGGATGAGATTGTCCATTCTGTGAGATGATGATGTTCTGTAACTCCATAACTCTTCTACTGCTTATCTTCAACTTTGCCTTTCTGTGAAGACTTTTACAGTATGTGGTTCTGTATCTATCTTGTTACCTGTCTATCTGACCACTCCACTTGCTTCTGCTGCCTCCTTCTCCCCTGCCTCCTTCCTTCCAGTCTCCACTTTTGGGTGATGCCCAAGGCTCAGCCTTGACCTTCAGCTCTTTATCACTCTCACTGGTCCTTCCTTTGCATCAACGGATACCTCTATTCCTGACTTTTTAAAAAAAAGATTTATTTGTTTATGCATGCTATTAGGACTGCGGTATAGGCCAAAGGTGTGGGTGGTGAGAGGCTTCACCAGAGACAGAGTGGGGAGCAGAACAGGCAGATTGACCGAAATACACTGCTGAGGGGAGCAGTGTGCAAGACAGGAGAGGTCTGCTGCGCCATGTGGCTCCCTGGCTAGGGATTGAACTCGTGCTGCAGTGGTTGTCGATACCTTGATAGTGCTGGGACTTAACTCCTTGAAACATTAGGGAAGCCTCTCTACTCCTGACTTACTGATGAAATCAAATGAAACTGACATAAGGGCATAGTGAATCTAAAATGGCATTCATGCTTTTGCGTTTCCTAACTGGCTCTTTCACATTTTCTTTAATTTTGTTAACAGTATCACTTTTGCTTAGTGGTCTTAGTTTGAGGTTCTTCCTGATCTCTTTATCTTAATTTTCCTCCAAATTCTTTCAGTTATCCCCAGATTGGCTTCTTTTGTCTCTCCTCACTGTTTCACTGAATTTCAGAGGATGTCACCTCACCCTGTATTCTGACCTCTCAGTTGGACTTGTTGCCACACTATCCTGTCCTTCCTTTCTCTTCCAGCCAATGTGCAGATTGATTGTCTTAAGCTATTAACTTCTTACGTGATTTTTTTTTTTAAACATTATTTATTTATGGGCCCTCCCTGGTGGCTCAGCGGGTTAAAGCACAGCACTGAGAATCTAAAGCCGCTTCCACATGAGTTCCATTCCCGCCTGCCCCGGAGGTGACCTGCCCCTGAGCCTCTGGCCTGTACCCCAGTTCTGTATGCACAAATAAATAAATCTTTAAAAAAAAAACAAAAAAAAAAGATTTATTTATTTAT